GCATGTTTGTGTTTCTGGTCTCAGCTGCTGGTGGTCAGGGTTATGATTGGCTGAATGAAGGCAGAATAAGCCCGAAACAGTGCTGTATCAATCTACCCGCATTCTCTGTCGTCCCTCCTCGCTGATATATATATATATATTTCGAAGAAGAACGGGTTCTTTGGGAAACTGAACAAACTTTATTTCGTAAATTTTCGTGTCTGGTTCCCCAGCTCGTCTTCAGACGTGTAGTAATTGTGAAGAAACAGTCAACATTTAAACAATTCCTAAAAAGCAATATTGTTCTGTCATGGCTGAGGATGGGCTCATGCTGTGGGCTGATTGCACGTTTTGATTGGCTATTACCTTTTCCATTTTTCTTTGAGATTTGTGTACATGGTATCAAGATCGATGTGTCGATTGATGCATGAATCATCAGAGTGAATGGCCTCTAGGAATTCTCGGCCTTTCTTATGTGGGCAGGAACCGACAATGCGTGTTTTATCCCAAGCGAATTTGTGCCCGGTTTCAAGGGTATGCATGACGACTTGGGATAGGTGGTTCCGCTTCTTCACTGCCAATTGTAGCAGGATTTACAATAATGAAAGCAGAGTTACATGCCATTGCATAACTTACGTAGGTCTATACCACATTTTAACGATAACCGGAATTCGCGGGTTTATGGTGGGAATGATACCCAACTGGTTCATTAATGATTTTTGCATACTAAGCAGCTTGCGTGCTGAGAAATGAGCCCTTTTTGGGATCAAATGGGACTAGGCATATAAAAGGTTGAGCGTTCGATTCACCGTTTCGTATTAACACGAAATAACTCAGACTCAGGGACCTACTGGGAAAACGGAATAAATGTTACAGCCATTTCCTAAGGAAAATCCAAAATAATCCAAGGACAGACTCTCATGTGTGTCGTTGGGCTTTTTGAAAAAAGTAAAGTTATTTCGTCGAAGGGCGCCAACATATTCCACTGCTCGAAGTTTGATTCAGACGTATTTTCACACGCTAATTGCGTGGCTTCATACGCAGTCACGTTTATCAGGAGACTTTGTACATCCGGCGGTCGGACTGTCGTCTGTACATGAACATTTTGCTGTCAACTCAGCAAGCTTACAGATTGCGATAATTTACATTAACTGGCGCGGGGCGGGTGAAGAATGATAGGTTCCGATTTCACGAAGACCGTGTGATTTTTCTTGCCTTTACATCTCTTTGGAAATTAATGCACTAACGTGGAGTAAATCATTCGGAATCAGGAGTTGTATGCTCGGTGTGAAAGTTGATATGAATATTTTAGCCGAGGTTTACCAGATTTTTCAGAATCGCCTACTTATCTGGTACGGCTGCGATCATGCCTGATCTAGCCTACCTCCATGGTGTCCCGACATGTACCTCTCCACGCATGACGATCCGCGGCAGCAGATGTGAACGCAGGTCCTAGCCTTAACCCCAATGCTTACCCAACCTACACCTTAGCCCGGACGATTGAACTTTTATGGCGGACAAAAGTACCTAAATTAACTCATAAACACAATAATGAATTTCATTCAGATACCTTCCGACTACGATGCAGGCTTAGGTGATTTTAGGGCCCCAGTGCACAATAGTGGTTGGAATCTAAGTTACTTTGACACAAGGTTCTAGATTTGCAACATCTTATTTTACATGGTCAGTATTTTTCAGTAAATACTTTTATCTATATTAAAATTACCAGTGCGGATTTCAAATGAAGACGATAAGGCCTTTACTGTGCAGACTTTAATCCAGTAGAGAGATCAATCTTCCGTTTATTCTTATGTTGAATTCTCCAATTATTAGCCTATGCTACTAGGTGTTTCAGTTTGTAGAAGTGTTTGACTCAAATGGTTAATAAAAATTCGGTTTTATATCATTTTATGGATAACTACGATGTTTTCTGTATGACAGTTCGGAATTCAATGTTTTGGTAATCAGGTTATGATAGTTATTTTGCCATTTTAAGGTTCGAACAGGTCTACTTTAGTGCATTCAAAAACCATGAGTGCCTCCAATAAAATATCAGTCAGGAAAAATGGCAATTTTGCCATTAACGTTAATGCCGAGATATATTGGGCAGGCGGTCGAAACGGTCTCTCGAGAACCTTGTTCATTGCCAAAGGCAATTCCAAGCTTCAGTGCTGTTTGCAAAACCCAGCCATGGGCTTTGGTTGTGAGCCTTATCCATAATATAATAAATAGGCCGCGGTAACTTAAAATCTCCACTTGGATAGGAGCTAAATAACAAAGAAAGCAAGATATGCACAGATAATATGTGGCTTTGATCTACTTATCACTGATGGATTGTCGCTGATTCCTAATTCCCCCCTAAATCCTGTGTGCACTGTTTTCCGGGTTTCATAAACATTTTTCCGGCCTACCTGGCCTGGATAAAGCGCCCTAATACATCTTATTTAATCTACTAAACTCAAGGATTTAGAAGCACAAATATGGGTGGATTTTATGACACCGCTTAGCGAAGGTAAGCTGCTCGCCGACAAAATCAAAGGGACTATAGACTAATTAACAGTCTGAACAACAGCAGGCAGGTTTACCGGGTAACTGACAAGATATAACCCAAAAACTGTTCACAGCCCTGTAATAGCCAGACAATCTGGAGTGTTGTTCGGTAGCGATGCGCTAGACGATATTTTGACACTGTGTTTATAAAGGTAGACCGCATTTCACGTAAATAGAGAATTCTGTTGGACCCTCTTATGTTTATTAGATCGCCTAGCGGTGTAGTCGCGCGACCGGGAATTCGGAACAATAGCTTGACTTATGGCTGCGGACCATATCCAGGGTTCCTCATCGACACCATAATAGCCGTATAAACAGGTATACGTCCACAGAGAGAGAGGCAGAGTCTCAAAAATGAGAGTAGTGAGCTGGGCGATGTGCATTAATACAGGAATAGGGGTACACTCTTCTACTTGCTTCTCGAGTAGGTGA